TCCCCACACCTCCACCCGACGAACCCTCAACCCTCAACCCTCAACCCTAAAACCCTCAACCCTCAACCCTCAACCATCAACTCTCAACCCTAAACCCCTCTGCGAAGGAACTTACCGCCGGTTCAGGGCACCGGCTCGCAAGGTACCTTCTACGACCGCATTGCCCAGGACTTTTGCGGTTTAGGGTTTAGGGTTTAGGGTTTAGGGTTTAGGGTTTAGGGGGCTTAGGTTTTTTTTGCTGACGGTTTCTCTAATCCCAAATCATTAAAGCATGTTAGGGGTCTGGGTTAAGGGGTTTTGGGGCGTGGGGTGTCGGGCCTCGGGCCGAGGGTGGCAAGTTTGTGTGTTTGGGTGCAGGGTTCTGGGAGGTGTTTATCCAGCAGTGCGTGTTTTGTTGCAGGCGGCAATCCGCCTGTTAGATACTCAGCCTTAGGCTTGCAGGGGGCTCCCGGCTTGCAGGGGCGACTTGGACCTAAACCCAAGGCCCTGCACCTCATCCCCTCCTCCCACTCTCAGAAGCGCTACTCAAAACCCTCAACTGCTCGGACCTCCGTTTGGAGCCTTATCTATAAGCACACCACAGGCCAAGAGTCCTCTGAACCATATGGAGGTTTACGAAAATAGGGGACCCCCAAGATGGATCCCCAAATAGTAGGATCCCCCTTATCATAAGGACCTTAATTTTGTAAAATATTTTCGGAAACCCCCCATATAAACGACACGAAAACCCTGAACCATCAGCTTTCAATCCCAAGTCCAAAAGCTTGCGGCCGACATGTGCAGGACCGCGAGATTCTCAAGGCAGCAGGGGTGGGTGCTAGGGTTTAGGGTTTAGGGTTTAGGGTTTAGGGTTTAGGGTTTAGGGTTTAGGGTTTAGGGTTTAGGGTTTAGGGTTTAGGGTTTAGGGTTTAGGGTTTAGGGTTGGTTTGGGGGTTGGGGGTTTAGGGTTTGGGGTCGAGCTCCTTCGCTCGAGGCACGCGCAGATGTTTCTTCTTTAACCGAATGCATCGCTGTGTGGAATCCTGTGTAAAGTACTCCAAAGCAAGCAATCCCGGTCAGAACAAGTTGCCAAGAGTAGGGCGCCGTTGTGCAGGGCTAGGTTCTACCATAAAGTCGAATTTGCGGTTAACGCAGCCTCGGTAAAGCGGAAAAGACGTCGTGGCAAACGGCCTCGTGAAGCAGCCTGTGATGGAGATGTTCAGTCGGAGACATATTGCAAAGTGCGTTTGCAGTGAGACCATCCATTTATCAGCGTCAGCTCCGATGTCATGCAGGTTTGTGCTCGTTGCAATGTGGACCGCCAGTACTTGGAGTTGCTGCCTACTGTCCAGCTGGAAGAAGAAACTTCCACTAAGCGCGCGTGGTGGTCCTCTCTTGGCATTCGTACTTTGAGCAAAACTAAAGCCGCGTGGCATAACGGCCTATCTTCTGGTCTGGCTGTCTTCTGGGGTTTGGGTTTAGTGTTAGGGAAAGAAAAATGCTGGCTTGGCCGCGGAAGAGCACTGGCAGCAAGGAGCAGAGCCCTAAACCCTAAACCCTAAACCCTAAACCCTAAACCCTAAACCCTAAACCCTAAACCCTAAACCCTAAACCCTAAACCCTAAACGCTAAACCCTAAACCCTAAACCCTGAACCCTGAACCCTGAACCCTGAACCCTAGGCCTCGGCCCTAAACCTTAGGGTTTGGAGGGTTTAGCTTTCTGCATGCCGGTACCTGGCCACGGGATGGCCAAGGCTCAATCCTTCAGACCCTTAACAGAAGCCCAAGCCGGCGATCACTAGAGCCTGGGAAAGTTGGGAGCTCCTGGCACGATCGTCCTTACCCGGTTTAGGGTTGAGGGTTTAGGTTTAGGAGTTGAGGGTTCAGGGTTCGATCCTAACTTACAGAGCTGTGCAGGTGGTGCTCTTGCTGACGGGAAGCATTCAGTCGGCGAAGAACATGACCCTCAGCTGCACTATGAAGCCTGTTTCTTGCTTTTGTTACTTACTTTTTTCTTTTTTTGGGTATCTTAAAGCCCGAAGCCCCAAAGTCCAAGCCCCGAAGCAACGAAACATTCTGAAGCCAACTGCGTACGACTTAGCAAATATGCCTGAGGGCTAGATGTCCGAGAGCCCTTTCTGGAAATGCAGCGAAGGTGTCTTATGCAAGCCATTCAGCAGTCTTCCGAACGGTACAGACCCCAACTTTCCCGCCCTACCGCAGGCCCAACGTCCTAAGCTTTCGAGGCTCCAGCCTGCACAAACCCCTAACCCCTTCTGCTGAAGCCACAACTGACCCACTAATCTTGAACCGTGAACCCTAAACCCTAAACCCTAAACCCTGAACCCTGAACCCTGAACCCTGAACCCTGAACCCTGAGCCCTAAACCCTAAACCCTAAACCCTGAACCCTATCCCTGACCTAGTCCCCGACCCCCGAGGTGCAACAGCTACCTCACCACCTTCAGCGAGTACGAGTGGACCTGGAAGGAGGACATTGACAAGCACCTCTGTCTGCAAGCTGCCTAAACCCTAAACCCTATATGAACCCTAAACCCTAAACCCTAAACCCTAAACCCTAAACCCTAAACCCTTAACGCTTAACCCTTAACCCTAAACCCTAAACCCTAAACCCTAAACCCTAAACCCTGGGGGGCGGGAGGTTTGGGGGTGGGGGGCTCCTGGCGTCTGGTGGTTTTAGGATTCAACTTCTTTTTTGGAGGGAGGGGGGCCAAGAGTCTGAATCTTGAAGCCCTCAACCCCTAAGCCCAAAGCCAAGCGGACCTCTGCAGTAGTCGCTAGATACCCGTTTAGGGTTTAGGGTTTAGGGTTTAGGGTTTAGGGTTTAGAAGCATCAGGAAGTGGAAGGTGTAACTTGACGCGCTAAGGGTGCAGGTCTTCGACTCTCAGGGTGTTTCATGGTCCCTGAATATGGTCCCTACCCTCCTTCAAAGGGTCTCTTACCTCCTTTGAATAGGGTTCCTCAATATAGTCCCTTACCCTCCTTTAAAGGGTTCTGATGTATGGGCCCTTGGGTTGTATAGGGTATATAAGGGGTATATAAGGGGTCCCCGTTTAAGAGCCCATGTCAAGGGACCATGTAACAACTACCCCAAGGGCTTCCGGGCCTTACGAAACCCTGAGCCTCAGCCCGAAAACCCCGCTGAATCTCCCTCAAACCAAGACTCAGCTCCTCAGCCCTGCTTAGAAGCTCTTTTTGACTTAGCAAGTCCACCTTTGTATCCCCTAGAAACCTTATTATCATCCCCATAGCCCACCTTGCTAACCCAAAACCCCAAACCCTATATAAACCCTAAACCTTAAACCTTAAACCCCAAACATTAAACCCTAAGCCCTGAACCCTAAACCCTAAACCCTAAACCCTAAACCCTAAACCCTAAACCCTGGGGGGGGGGGGGGGGGGGGGGGGCAAGCCCCTAAAGCCCAGGAAGTATGCTGAGTTCAAGTCCACCGAGCCGAGCCTGGACGACTTCGAGCCCGGGCCTTGGGGGTTTAGGGTTTAGGGTTTAGGGTTTGGGGTTTAGGGTTTAGGATTAGGGTTTAGGGTTGAGGGTTTAGGGTTTAGGGTTTAGGGTGTAGGGTTTAGGGTTTAGGGTTTAGGGTTTAGGGCCTGGGGCCCTCAGCAGCGATATTCGTCCCCTTTTGTTTGGTCCTAGGGCTTTGGGGTTTAGGGTTTAGGGCTAGGGTTTAGGGTTTCGGATGGAGGTTTGTTTGTACCTTGCGACTTCACATCAGTCCTGCCTCTTCCAGCAACTGCAAGATGCTTGATTAGGGTTTCGGAGTGTGGGTGGCCCCAAACCCCAAAACCCAAACCCCAACCCTAAACCCTAAACCCTAAACCCTAAACCCTAAACCCTAAACCCTAAACCCTAAACCCCAAATCCCAAACCCTAAACCCTAAACCCTAAACCCTTAACCCTAAACCCTAAACCCGAAACCCTAAACAACTAAACCCCAAACCCTAAGCCCTAAGCCCTGAACCCTGAACCCTAAACCCTAAACCCTAAACCCTAAACCCTAAACCCTAAGCCCTAAGCCCTGAACCCTAAACCCTAAACCCTAAACCCCAAACCCCAAACCCCAAACCCCAAACCCTAAACCATAAACCCTAAGCCCTAAGCCCTGAACCCTAAACCCTAAACCCTAAACCCTCTTGCAGTGCTGACGCCCGAAATCCTAAGCCGCTGGGGGGAGGTCCAAGCTCAAGGAGTTCGTGGCCATGGAGAACAAGGCCTGCATGCTCCCTTGTCCTTTTAGGGGTTTAGGGTTTAGGGTTTAGGGTTTCGGTTTAGGGCTTAGGGGTTAGGTCCCTCTTAGGGTTTAGGGGTTTGGGGTCCAGGTCAGAAGCCCCACCGCGCCCTAAACCGTCAGCGCTGAGCTCTTAGTAGCTGAATGAGCACACTTCACACTTCTTGGGGATACTAGAATCCCCTGTACACTTTTGCGGGCTTGTGAACTCAGAAACTAAGAACTCCAAACCCTAAACCCTAAACCCTAAACCCTAAACCCTAAACCCTAAACCCTAAACCCTAAACCCTAAACCCTAAACCCCAAACCCCCAGCTTCCCGCATGCCGATGTGAAGGTCGAGCAGCTGACGGGCCAGCACCAGCCGCCTGGCGTCGCAAGTCCTTTTTTTTGTTTGTCGGTTTCTTGCGTTTAGGGTTTAGGGTTTACGGTTCGGGGTTTAGGGTTTAGGGTTTAGGGTTCAGGGTTTAGGGTTACCCGAGGATCCTTTTCGGGGCTTTATGATAAGGCCCTGCCAAAAAAGTTGGTTTTGGGTTCCTAAGGCAAACCTAATCCCCAAACCCTAAGTCCTAAACTGCTAAACCTCAAAACCTCCCCGTATGCCCCCCCCATTTTAGGGCTTGCGGATTAAGGGCTTCTATGAGGCTTGTGGGGGTTGTGGGGTTAGGGCTTTTACGACTGTTTCCTAAGCCCTAAGCCCTAAGCCCTAAACCGCCCTAAACCCTAAACCCTAAACCCTAATCGGGAGGTCGCATGATCGTCGTGGCAGACACCAACGAACTGCTGCGCCACTTCCGGTCGGACACCCTGACCGAGGTCAGACATTGCCTCCTGAACATGGACCGCGCGACGTTGCCAGACGCGATGGCCGCGCCGTCCCTGTCCTTCGACTACGTCCGCCCTGGTGACGTGCTGTACACTCCGACGGGTGCCAGAAGCTGCGAGAAGCCGTCACTGATCCTTCTACGTTGGGATGATCCCCTTTTAATTACTAGCAGTCCTTAATAGGGCCTAAACCCTAAACACCCAACCGTTAGGGCCTTTCGGGCTTAGGGTGCTTAGGGCTTTCAGACCGCGCGAGCTGCCCGTCCAACCCCTCGGGCCGGATGCCCACACACGTGTCGAAGTGAGCTCTAAGACCTCTTAGGGCTCAGCGCAGAGTATTTCCTGACATGGTTAGGGTTTAGGGTTTAGGGTTTAGGGTTTAGGGTTAGGGTTTAGGGTTCAGGGTTCAGGGTTTAGGGTTTAGGGTTTGGGGCTTTGGGTTTTTTGGGCTTTGGGGCTTGCTCCAACTTACGTCTGAGGGTACTTTCTTGGGCCCTTAGTATGGACCCTAACCGCCTCTAAAGGGTTCTGATGTACGGGCCCAGACTCAGGCATCGTGTAGCTACCCCAAGATTACGGTCCAGTGCCCCGGGTTACGGGCTCTGGGCATGCAGGCATGCTAGGCCTGCTAGGCATTAGTACTTCTACTAAGAGTAATTCTACTTCGTCTCTTCTAGATACCCCATTCTAATCCCCATAACCCACCTGACTAACCCTGCTTACTAAGTCAAACGGGCTGCCAAGCAGGGTCGACAGGGCTTAGGGTGAGTGATCCCACCGAGTTCTTCTAAGCCCCTAACCCTAAACCCTAAATCCTAAACTGCCTGGGCCACTACTCCATCCCAAGGATCTCTGCACTGATGCTGAAGACCGGGAGTTTGGCGCATGACCTCAAGGACGATATGCTCCCTTAGGGTTTAGGATTTGGGGTTTTCGGTTTTGGGTTTTGGGTTCTGGGTTTGGGTTTAGAGCCATACTTGTTTCAAACAATCCCCCCTTGGGTTTGATATAAAGAAAAGTACAAAGTAACTCCCAAGCAGGCCAGGGGACTCTCAACCCTAAACCCCAAACCTGTTCAGTAAGCCCCATTGGAGTTCTGATTTGGGGTTCAGGATTTGGGGTTTAGGGTTTGGGGAATATGGTAACCCTAGACCCTGAACTCTTAACCCTCAGGCTTTATATGGGTTGGTGGTCTCTTTAAGTAGGGTTTCTGTTTTATAGGGCATATAGCCGGGGTTCTTATTAGGGTATCTAGGGGCTATTTTCAGGTATAAGGGCAACAGATAAAGACGCCACCAACCCTAAACCCTAAACCCTAAACCCTAAACCCTAAACCCTAAACCCTAAACCCTAAACCCTAAACCCTAAACCCTAAACCCTAAACCCTAAACCCTAAACCCTAAACCCTAAACCTAACCCTAAACCCTAAACCCTAAACCCTAAACCCTAAACCCTAAACCCTAAACCCTAAACCCAAAACCCTAAACCCTAAAAACCCTAAACCCTAAACCCTAAACCCTAAACCCTAAACCCTAAACCCTAAACCCCTAGGCGGGGCCATAACAGACCCACGCTTTTTCGGTAGTTTCGCTCTGTTGCCCTCACAATCCCCCGTAAATACCGATGTTTCCTGGGTTTCCACCATTGCCTCATGCCCCCACTTTTTATCTAAAATTGTTCTGCATTTTTAAGAAGCATCCGTAGACAGCACTGGTATTTGTGGGGTTTTTTGCACTTCTTCCAACTTAAGACGCGTCCTAAACTAAGACCTCTCCTGCATCCACTTCTGCCCAGGCCTGAGTCCACATAACATGTCTCCTCGCCTGAAACACTTCTCATGTCGTAATAGCTCATGCTCCCAGTACTTGATAGAAGACAAGCCTTCCTGCTTCCAAAAGACACGGGATGTTTACAAGTTTGGTCTGTGAGCTTTGCTGTCACACTTGCATCCTTGCCGCAATGGATCGGCGTGCTCTCATAAATCAGCGATGCGACAGCTGGCGGGTTGGGGTTCACTCCATGGCCCCAGTAGGGGCCTGGCTTCCTTGGGCAGAAGTTCTGACTCTCGCAGGCAGATGCGGCTGGTCTGAGTTTGACTGTCAAGCAGCAGCAGAAACGTGGACCAGTCTTTCTGGAGCTGAGTTGACATGGACAGAGGATCACAGCTCCATTTTGCGAGTGCGTCTGCTTCCTCTAGACAAAACCGATGGCGTGCTTGACTTGTCCGACGACGAGGAGATACCCTCTGCACATGTGGAGATTTCGGACACAGAAGAGGTCTGCTCTCCAGTGCAAGCGATGCAGCCTGTGGACCGTCAGAACAATGCCCCGCAGACCACGCCACTGTCAGCTGTGCTCACTTCCGTTGTGGCTCCTTCTTCGCCTGCTCAGGAGTCTTGCAAAATAGGCAAGCGGTTCTTCAAGTACGGCGTGTGCCCTCATCATAGAGTTGCCCGGCAACCCTATGTGTACCAATCTGGCCGACACGGAGGCCGCTGCCACTTCGTTTGCCAGAAGTTCTGGGTCAAGGATGCATCGGGGCGTCGCACCTGCTTTCACAGTGTTCCATGTCCACGTGAGCGCCTGCAGGACATGCCGAAATGGACTCAGGATTGTTACAAAGACATTAGGTCTGCCATTTTGCGAAACGCAACTGGCAGTGGGGATTAGCAGCACAGCGTGGGGCTTCGCTTTGCTGGCTTGCATAAAGACGCTCCCACATGTCGTGCGATTACACATTCTAAACGCTCTTGTGAAAACCCTGAACCTTAAACCCTTAACTTTCACCCCAGAATCCTCGACCTTAAACCCTCAAATATCTGTGCCATAGCCTTGCGGCTTCTTAGTTCTTAGGATGCCAACGCCCGTGAGGGGGGGGCGGAGGCAAAAGAGTATGCTCGCACTGCGGCCATGGCGGTCACAGAGTGGAATCCTGCTCTCAGCTTGCTGCTCAGATGCTTTCTTTGATCAAGCGAAGACACGCTAGCAAAGCGATCAGCAGCTTTGTCAAAGATGCTTCTCAAGGGAACCAAGGCTGCAATGTTCAGGGCATGGACGGCATTCATGGCAACGGAAAGAGACGCGCCAAGCTCATCGGGACCAATATTCAGAACAAGACCAAGCGACAACGACAGAAAGCCAGTGCCAAGAAACTCAACAAAGCCAGAGTTCAGCGGCAAGAATGTCGACGTGTACGAAGACAAGCCAAATATCTGCAGAGCTGCACTGACCAGTTGCGGGAATTGGACAGTGGCAATTTTCAGAAGGAGAGGCTTGCCTTTCAGAAGCTTTGCTCATTGGGATGGGCAAAGAAACCCAAGAAGTGTCCAGCGTGTCTCTCGAAGATGTCGGCTCTCACGGAGCGCTGCACCAACAGTCTTGGCACAACAGCCTTTTTTCGTTGCCGAGCCCGAGCTTGTCACAGGTGGTGGTCCTGCTTGCAGTTCACGTTCTTGAAGGGCACTTACCGCGGACTGAATCTGCAGCAGCTTCTCCTGATCCTGCAGACCTTTTACTCCATTCATCCTGAGCGACATGGACGGGCGCCTGCTTACCACACACTTTGCAAAAGCCTGGGTTGCAAGTGGGCAAACAGTTCCAAGCTCACTCGGAAGATCCTGCAGGAGTGTCGGGTTTGCGAACTTCTTTTCGGATACCCCGCAAGACTTGCTCATCCCCGTAATCTCCCGAAACCCTAACCCTAATGCCTTAACCCCTCAACCTTAAACCCTAAACCCTGAACCCTACAATCTTAAGCCCAAAACCCAAACTCTTTTAAACTTGCACCATCAGGAGATGCGCTGCGTGGAAGCAGACTGTGCTCGGTCTCAGCAGAAAAAGAGGTCACTCACGGGAATAGTCGAAGTGGACGCAACATCCCTGGGGAGTTTTGCGCGTGGCCAGCGCAGATACCACGTTCAAATCTTCGGCTTGGCACAGAGACCGGATGACGCCGGCAACGGACTTCGTGTACACGTGTTTCCGCTGTCCTTGGCCAACACCTCTCTTCGAGCTGCTTCCCCCGTGGAAGACTTGGTGCGAGTGCGTGCGTGCGGTGGCATGCAAAGCATCAACACTGCCAAGTGCGACGCTCTCGTTTCCGACGGGGCTCGGGTTTACCCCTCCGTCGCCGACTCACTAGGTGTGCCACATTACCACGTTTCCCACGGTGCCGGGGTGTGGCGAAAGATGTTCCGAAGGCGCAGGAAACCTGCCATACAAGCACATTCGGGCTCCATAGATAATTTCTGGAAACAGCTCCAGGAATGCATGCCCGCCATGCTGGCCAAATCGGTGGCAGGCTCGCCGCCTCAGGCGAATCCCGAGCTAATGAGTTATGTCTTCCAGTTCGTTTTGCGGTATCATCACGAAGGCAACATGCTTTCACTGATGCGGCTGCTGGGAAAGTTCTTATGCGAGAAGCATTTTGCTCACCAGGACTGGTGCTGAGGACGTGCGTGCGGGGGTGGAAAGACGCCAAGTCTGCAAACTAACAGCTCCGACCTAAGTCCACACCCTGAGGTTTGCTGCTGGGGCCACAGTTTTGCGCGGGTCTCTTGTGGACCCGCCAGGCTAAACCCTAAACCCTAAACCCTAAACCCTAAACCCTAAACCCTAAACCCTAAACCCTAAACCCTAAACCCTAAACCCTAAACCCTAAACCCTAACCTAAACCCTAAACCCTAAACCCTAAACCCTAAACCCTAAACCCTAAACCCTAAACCCTAAACCCTAAACCCTAAACCCTAAACCCTAAACCCTAAACCCTAAACCCTACACCCTAAACCCTACACCCTAAACCCTAAACCCCACAACTCAAGCTCGCCCAACCAGGACCGGGCAGACAAGTGGAAGACCTGCTTTGCCAAGGACTCGGGGCTTGGGATGGCTCTATGGGTTCAGGGTGAAGGGTTTAGGGTTTAGGGTTTAGGGTTTGGGGTTTAGGGTTTAGGGTTTAGGGTTTGAGGTTTAGGGTTGACGGTTTGGGGTTTAGGGTTGACGGTTTGGGGTTTAGGGTTTGGGGTTTAGGGTTCAGAGGTTCGGTTCAGATTTCACGATTTAGGGTTGTTTAGGGTTTGGGGTTAAGGGTTTAGGGTTCTAGGGTTCAGGGTTTCGGGGCAACAATGTTAGGGTTTTGGATTTCGATCAGGGTTTTTCTGTGGTTTCTGTTTTTGTTTTTGCATGCTTGGGTTTCGCAGGTGTCTTCGCGAGGTATCTGAATTCAGTTCTAGAGGGAAGTACTACAGTGTAGGCGAGGGCTCAGAAGTCAGGAAGTTCTGGCTACGGATCGGGATAGCTATGAATATTGCTTTCACTTATACTTCTGAGGGTTTAGGGTTTTGTGAGGGCGTTTCGTCAGAATGCATCGCCGAGATCACAGGAGTTTCAGAGCCTGCATAAACTCCAAATCATCTTTTTCGATTTTGGGGTTTAGAGTTTAGCCTGCGTGAGCACCACCTTATGTTGCAGGCACGAGTATGGAAGCTGTTTTGTGTGCACGAAGCTTCAAGAGCCTTAAACCTCAAAGCCTATGTGGCTTCTGAACGTTTAAGGATCAGGGTTGTTTCCGGGGGAAGCACTGAAGTGTAACTCGCAAGCCGCTAGCCTGAATCCGCCACGAGGAGCTGCACAAAGAGGCTTTCGCGAAGCTCGAAACCGTCAGCGAGATGGCGGCCCTGCGCAGATTGTTTGCTGGTCTTGCTGGTCTTGGTATACTTGGAGATTCATGGTACTTACTAACCAATTAATTATGACTGTACTTGTAACTGTACTTATAACCATACTAGGGCACTTAAGGGGCGTTTAAGTGGGACCGTTTCTGGTCAGGAGCTCCCCCCTTAAGCCCTAAGCCCTAAACCCGATACCCTGCAACCCTAAACCCTAAACCGCTTCTTCTGATTTGGAAATTTTCTTAGTAGGGAATGAGGGATTAGGTACCTTGTATCCCCCTAGAATATACCCTCTAAGGGATTCTATAGCGGTACCTCCTTCCCGACTAACCCTAAAATGTAGAGTCCCTAGAAGATGCTTTAAGGCTCAGCTTCAGCCCAAAACCGAAGCTCCTAAACCTTGAGGATTCGGTTCGAATTTAACGCCCCGCTTCCGCTTAAACCCAGCGCCTGCATTGCAGATAATGAAGGGCGAACATCTCCGTGCTCAGGTCAAGTCGACCAGCAAGAAGCTCAAGAGAGAGGCCCGGGAAGAAGAACATCTTTCTACACCAAACCCTAAACCCTGAACCCTAAACCGACTGGTGCGACCCATCGGGGAGGGTTTAGGGTTTAGGGTTTAGGGTTTAGGGTTTAGGGTTTTGGGTCCAGGGCTTAGGGCTTCGGATGATTTGGTTCGCCGCTCTTACACCTTAAGCATGAAAGCCCGAAACCCTACGTCCTAAACCCTATTCCCTAGACACGGAGCCCTAAATCATGGGGCTTTGCATGATGTAGTCCGAACACAAAAGCCATAAGCCCTATAAACCGTAAACCCTAAGCCCTAAACCCTAAACCCTAAACCCCAAACCCTAAACCCTAAACCCTAAACCCCAAACCCTAAACCCTAAACCCTGAACCCTAAAATTCCTTTCGGTGCCTCACTTCCAGTCTCCAGGTCGGCTCTGGCGACATCGATGCCCTGGCCTACGTCATGCAGACCCTCCAGGACGCGACGCAGCCACGGCCTCCTTGAACTCCCGAAGCTCAGGGGGTTTTGGGGTTTAGGACTTCGGGTTTCAGATTTATGGTTTAAGGTTTCGGTTTTCGGGTTTAGGGTTTAGGGGCGGGTTCAGGGTTTCATCGGGGCTCAGTGGAGTCTGGCCGTCGTCAGCCAGACGTTGTCAGTGTCTGTCATTTCCGTCCCCTGTCACAAGCGGTCGGCAGGCATACCCGGCAACAGAGAACGAGAAAAAGGCTTTTGGTTTAGGGACCGGGTTGGCGGAGGTAGGGACATCAATTTCGCCCGCAAAACGCCATGGCTCTTCAGCTCTGCAGGGATGTTCCCAACCGTAAGCCCTAAATCCTAAACCCGAAATGCTAAACCCCAAGCCCTGAACCCTGAACCTAATGCCCTAAGCACTAAACCCCCACAGCCTTAAAGCCCGAAGCCCCTGAATGCCCTGGCTGCGAAACTCGATGTCCTAACATGAAGGGGTCTGTAGCAGCCCGTATATCCCTAAGTCGCCCCCCCCAATTGCCCGGCGTACCTTGTCGAGGTCCCTCGTTCAGTCTCTTTGCAACACCAAATTCCCTCAACCCTAAACCCCAAACCCGAAACCCTGAACCCTACACCCCAAACCCGATTCCAGGAAGTGTACGCAAAGCAGAGTGAGATTGAGCTGGACTTCGTGCCGATTGAGCACATGCGACTGGCCTTTGAGCAAGCTTCCGGCTGATTACACAACAGCCCACGCCCTAAGCCCCAAAACTTTCCTAAACTCTAAACCCTGTACACCTTATAAGCCCTTTAATGAACCCCTAAACCCTAAACCCAAGCTGACATTTACTTTGGAGTACTATGGACCCCACCATAGAAATCAAAAAGCAAACCGACGTTCCCTATAACCCGATTCCTAAACGCCATACTGCAATATAGGGGGATGCTCGAGATATCGGAGCCGTTTGTAGCTACATTCATGGAGCATGAAGATCTGGGCAAGCAGAAAGCATTCGGGGTTGCCCTAAGCCCAAACTCAGCTGTTGAGCCAACTTGTGTGGAAGCAAAGGGCAGTGCCTGAAGACGGAATCAGAAGGCCTTCTTAACGAACCCCTCCAAAACAAAGGGTTTAGGGTTTAGGGTTTGGGGTTTAGGGTTTAGGCACGTACATTGGAACACCCCTTTCCCTTGCCCCGCCCCCATGTTCCCAGTCCCCAGAGAAGCTGCCGAGGTACCGCATCTTGGACGAGCACCTGCCCAACATCATGGACAAGGCTTCGACCGTTTAGGGTTTAGGGTTTAGGGTTTAGGGTTTAGGGTTTAGGGTTTAGGGTTTAGGGTAAGCCCTAGACTTCATGGACAAGGCTTCCCCTTCGACGGCCCCAACCCTCTTCTTTGTCATAGTTGGGTAAAATTTTCTACAGTTTTTAGGGTACTTAAACACCCAATAAGGAATATAGATTTAAATTCTTAATATTATCCCAACCATGAACAAGTCTTAGGGTATAAAAAAAGGGCCCTTGAAAGGGAACCCCTTACATACCCCTTATATACCCTATGCAAATTAAGGGCCCATACATCAGAACCCTTTAAAGGAGGTCAGGGACCATTGTAAGGGCCCATGAAACTACCCTCAGAAACCCCCAAACCCACTTAACCCCAAACCCCCAAACCCCCAAACCCGCAACCCCCAAAGATTAGAGGGGGCTTGATCTACGGCAGTTTGTTGTGGCACTCTGAACTTCAAGGACTATGCAGTAATTGAAGCCCGAAAAGGCCCCCCCTGAAGCATAAGTTTTGGGAGCCCCAAACCCTAAACTCTAAACCCTTTATGGGTTTGAAAGGTGCTTTTAGGGTTCATCTGGCTTTGGGGCTTGCAAAGCTTGCAGGGGTTTGGGTTCTTGTTATGGGTTTAGAGATTCGGGCCTAGGGTCTACGGTTTAGGGTTTAAGGTGTAGGTTTCGATGGCAACCCATGCCTGCAAGAGAATGTGTCAAGCGGACGCGTGGGTCTACCTGGCGGCCCGGAACCATGAGCCCGAAACGAACCGAAAACCCTAGCACCCTAAACGGGGTTTAGGGTTTAGGGTTTAGGGTTTAGGGTTTAGGGTTTAGGGTTTAGGGTTTAGGGTTTAGGGTTTAGTATATAGGGCCCCTAAACCCTTAAAAAACCCTAAAGCCCTCAACCCCCAAATCCTGGAGCTCCCAAACCACGCTCGGAGACCCGGCCAGGAAGAGCAAGACACGCGCTCCATGCTCGAGAGGAACTGGAAGGACGTTTACCCCGGTTCAGGGTCTAGGGTTTTGGGTTATGGGGTACTTGGGAACAATGTCGATTTTGGGTACTATTATCATACTATTGTCATTCCTAAGAAACAGCTAAATTGTTCTTCTTGCTAAGGCTCAAAGTTCAGTATAGGAATAGGGTGTAGGGGTTGGGGTTGCGCATCCCCCCCCCCCCTCCCCAATCGAAAACAAGGCCCGAATTACGTAAAACCCGAAACGCGGGCAGTGGGTGGGGCAGCATAGCTTCGTTCTTGATTAGGGTAGCCCGTCTATCAACCCTTTTTTGAATAGGTTTCTTAGCAAGCATATCCTCCAAAAGGCCCACACTAAATCCTGAAAGCCCATAGAGGCCCTTAATCTAAGCCCCCTAAACCCTAAACCCTAAGCCCTCAACCCTAAGCCCTAAACCCCAAACCCCAAACCCCAAACCCCAAACCCCAAACCCTAAACCCTAAACCCTAAACCCTAAACCCTAAACCCTAAACCCTAAACTTCCAGAACCCTTGAATTGCCAAGAAAGCCCTGCAATCCTTCCAAGGAGCTCCTGGAAGACACGGAGAAGAGGCAGCAGGAGCTGTCGGAGAAGCAGTGCCGCGGCTTAGGGTTTAGGGTTTAGGGTTTAGGGTTTAGGGTGTAGGGTTTAGGGTTTAGGGTTTAGGGTTTAGGGTTTAGGGTTTAGGGTTTAGGGTTTAGGGTTTGGGGCTTGGGGTTTGGGGTTTAGGGTTGTGCCGAGGTACCATAGGGGCCCTAATGTTTAGAATAGGGTTTTGGCGGGGTATTATCGTCTATTTTTCTAGGGACCAGAAGGGAATACTCTTAGTGATTTTTCCGATGCCTTCAGTACGGGGCTCTCGCGTTTCGAGGCCTCGCACTATCTCGCGCTTAGGAGTTGCTTTTTGCCTTCGGGGTGTAGGGTTTTGGCCTTTGGCTTTGGAAGGTGTTGGCTGTCCTGCCCCAAACCCCTACTAGACCCCACCCCATGCAAGCCCTAAACCCTGAGCCCTAAACCCTAAACCACAAACGGTAGGTTCTCGGAGTTCGGGTTCCCTTTTTTGTCAGTCTAATCACGGGCCCTGGTCGTCAGAGCCCGCACCCAGGGCCCGTTGACGTAATTCGGATGGCCTTTCGGAATCCTTCGGATGTGGGTTTAGGGTTTAGGGTTTGGGGTTTGGGGTTTGGGGTTTGGGGTTTGGGGTGTAGGGTTTAAGGTCTAAGTGGGCCCAGGATCCACTACAAGAAGGATCTGATCAAGACGGTGAACGCTTTCAAGAAGGACACCCCTCGCAAGGCTTCAGAGGTTCATATGGCTTCAGAGGGGCAGATGGGTTTAGGGTTTAGGGTTTAGAGGTTTAGAGGTTTAGAGGTTTAGAGGTTTAGAGGTTTAGAGGTTTAGAGGTTTAGAGGTTTAGAGGTTTAGAGGTTTAGAGGTTAGAGGTTTAGAGGTTCAGGGGTTTAGGGTGTAGGGTCCAGAGTTTAGGGAGATGGGTTAGGCTCTCGCAGGATCGCAACAGTTTTCCATGGGAGGTTCTGTCGGGTCTCTAACTACGATCCCTTTGTGTCCCTTGCATGCGCCTTTTGCATTCCAGGGTGCCCAAGAAAGGGCCGAGAACTGACTACATGATATTGAATTGCTTGGCGCCTGAACCCTAAACACCCGAAACCGCAGGCCTCGAAAGCCGAAATCCCTAGACCCTAAACCCCCAAACCCCAAACCCCACAATCCCTCAACCCTAAACCCCTAACCCTAAACCCTAAACCCTAAACCCTGAATCCCTAAACCCCCAAACCACCAAACCCTAGACCCCTGGACCCTAAACCCTAAACCTAAACCCAAAACCCTAAACCCCAAACCCTAAACCCTTAACCGAGAGCTGCGGGTTTAGAGAGGACGTGGCGCGCTTCCGCGCCGAGTACGAGCGCTCCGGGCCCATGGTGCAGCTTGTCACAAGCCCTTGGGGGTTTTGGGTTTAGCGTTTTTGTGTGTAGGGGGGGGGTGGTTTGGTGCTCTTGCGTTTTTTGGGGGTTTAGGGTTTGGCGTTTTTTGTGTGTTCGTTTGCGGGGTTTAGGGTTTAGGGCCGCCTGCACCTCCAACATTCCGCCCACCCAAAGGGTTTCCCCGTGTTCAGCTTGACTGGCCCCTAAACCCTAAACCCTAAACCCTAAACCCTAAACCCTAAACCCTAAACCCTAAGCCCTCAACCCTACATCCCCACAAACCCTCAACCCCACACCCCCAAGACCCACAAGCCTTAGCCCGAAACCCTAACCCCCAAACCCTAAACAACCCTAAGCCCTAAACCCTAAACCCTAAACCCTAAACCCTAAACCCTAAACCCTAAACCCCAAACCCCAAACAACCCCATTCCAAGGAAGGGCATCCCGCCTCGCGAGGCGGTGGAGCGCCTGAAGCGAGCCTCGGCTTTTGTGCTGTTCGGGGTTTAGGGTTTTGGGTTTGAGGTTTAAGGTTTGGCAGGGGTTTAGGGCTAGGGTTTAGGGTTTAGGGCTTCGGGTGGTTTGGGGCTTAGGGCTAGGGCTTGGGGGTTGGGGTTCGAGAGACCGATCACCGGCACCGCAGCCATCGCTGAGCTTGGCGCCGGTCCTGAACGGGTCGCTTTGTCATGCTCAGCGCGCTCCCCCCTGCGCAAGGCCGGCACCAGGGGATTCCTTTGCTTTGGTCGCCGGCCGACCAGTGCATTCATGGCTTTTGCCTCGATGAAGGAAGAACATTCCGCTCTCCCTCACGATTGACACACACAGGCAGCGTTGCCCGGAAGAGGGGAGCATATCTTCATCAACGGACTGCCTTGTCTGTCTGCGCGTGCTGAGATACGGGTTTATTGTCGAGTTTAGACATCTTGAGAGTTGGGACTGGGGAAGTGGGATCTTTTAGGGCTTCGGGACTAGGGTTTGGGGGGTAGGATTCAGGGTTCAAGTACATGTTCTGCCGGAGTGGGAGCCTTTAGGCCCTTCCCTCAAACTCCTCAAGCCCGCGATGCCCACTGAACCCGAAAACCCCAAGAGCCCAAGAACATCGGAAGCCTCCCAAAAAGAATGTCTAGGGCCTTTGTCTTCCATTGAGCTCCCCGAGCTACCCCCCACACCGCGAAGCCCTAAGCCCAAACCCTGCACCCCCTAGTTCCAAGCCCCCTAAGCTTCGAGGACCCTTAAAATTAAAACCCCTTAGCCCCCTAAACCCAAAAACCCAAATCTCAAAACCCTCAACCCTCAACCCTCAACCCTCAACCCTCAACCCTCAACCCTCAACCCTCAACCCTCAACCCTCAACCCTCAACCCTAAACCCTAAACCCTAAACCCTAAACCCTAAACCCTAAACCCTAAACCCCACACCACTAAAGCCCCAAAGCAAGGCTTCAAGGAGGAGTTCGAAGTCCGAGACCGAAAGCAGGCCAACTCCGGGTGCCTGAATGGGGGTCTAAGGGGTTTGGGGTTTAGGGTCTAGGGTTTGGGGTTTGGGGTTTGGGGTTTAGGGTTTAGGGTTTAGGGTTTAGGGTTTAGGGTTTAGGGGTTTAGGGGGTTTAGGGGTTTAGGGTTTAGGGTTTAGGGTTTAGGGTTTAGGGTTTAGGGTTTGTAGGGTTTCAAGCAGTCTCTCCAAAGGATCGGCATCAGCAGGCTCCAGAGGATCGCCGTCAACAGCCATTTTCTCTGAGTACAACGATGCTCTCTGGAATGAGTTCTTATGCCTTCGCGCCTTTGTCCGCCTGGGAGACCTACACTCGATATTCTCACAGGCACATGGGTTGCTAGATGGGGTAAAGGATACCGGCTTGCTCTCCCGAGGCCGTCGTGGGTTTGATCTTCGTTGGGGTGGCTTTGTCTGCTAAGCTGCAAGAAAATGCTGTGAACAGACTTCGACCCCTCATCATCCAACAGAAGCGGCTGCAGAAGGGCCAAGTTGCCAGGGCGGAACGCTGTTGGGCGAATTTCCTCAATGTCATGAAAGGTGGCCTGCTGGGGGACTGAGCGTGCTGTGCCAGAATGCTGTTGGGTGAAGTTCCTCACTCTTATGAAACTGGCCTGCTAGGGAGGGTTTAGGGTTTAGGGGTTGAGGGGTTTAGGGTTTAGGGGTTTAGGGGTTTAGGGGTTTAGGGGTTTTGGGGTTTTGGGGGTTTTGGAGGTTTAGGGGTTTAGGGGTTTAGGGGTTTAGGGGTTTAGGGGGTTTAGGGGGTTTAGGGGGTTTAGGGGGTTTAGGGGGTTTAGGGGGTTTAGGGTTAAAGGGTTCAGGGTCCAGGGGTTTAGGGTTTAGGGGGTTGAGGGCTTAGGGGTTGTGAGTTTCGAGGTTTGGGGGGTTTGGGGGTTTAAGGTTTATGGGTTGCAGGCTTCAATGAAAAAGTGCAAGTAACTAGAACCCTCCCCCAAGTGGTAACATTAGATGAAGTAGGGTTTATAGATTACTGTTATTGGTGAGTGTATAGAAGATTCCTTTTTGATATTGGTGAGTGTATATATTTGGTGTCCTTTTTGGGGATGCAAGAAGTATAGACTCTCCCTAAACCCTAAACCCTAAACCCTAAACCCTAAACCCTAAACCCTAAACCCTAAACCCTAAACCCTAAACCCTAAACCCTAAACCCTAAACCCTAAACCCTAAACCCTAAACCCTAAACCCTAAACCCTAAACCCTAAACCCTACTTCAGATGCCTTTTCAGGGGTGGGCCTCGGGTTTGGGAGCAGGGCTGGCGCACCGTGACTGCGTCCAGCGAGCCCTCGCCATTAAGTTTTGGTGGCATTTTTGGTTTAGGGTTTAGGGTTTAGGGTTTAGGGTTTAGGGTTTAGGGTTTTGGGGGATTGCAGCAGGCATCACAATATCCGTCAAGGACGAGAATCTACGGACCCTAAACCCTGAACCCATAAGCACCTTTCACCTTAGGGACTGGGTAGGTAACCTTTAACCTTCTTGGGTATACAAAATCCTACTACTAGGGCCGGGAGTAGGCCCTTTTTTCCTTTTTTTAGGTTGGGGGTTCCCTTATGATCCCCTCAAAACCAAAAAGGGTACCCTTTTTTCCTAGGTTACTCCCGGGTCTAGACTATATACAAAGGGTTAATCCTTTTTGGGCTAGGATATTCAGCCCCGAAGTTAACTAAGCCGTCTTCTCACATCCTAAACCCTAAACCCTGAACCCTAAACCCTAAATCCTAAACCCTAAACCCAAAACCCTAAACCCTAAACCCTAAACCCTCAACTGCATCCAGGAGATCTACTACATCGGCGAAGACCTCTTTGGAGTGGCTGGGCCTGCAACCCCCGGATCTTGGACCCCCTCCAAAAACCCCTATCCCTAAACCCTCAACCCTAAACCCTAAACCCTAAACCCAAAATCCCAAAAACCTAAAGCCGAAAACCCGAAACCCTAAGCCCTGAACCCTGAAACCAAAAACCGAAAAACCCTACTAAAAACCTAAGCCCTAAAGCCCTAAGCCCTAAACCCAAAAACCTAAAGCCCTAAACCCGAAAATCCCTGAACCCTAATTATCTCGAATTCCAGCCAGGGGTGCTCGCTTCTGAACCCAATGACTTCTTAAGCCGTGCCGTTGCTGGGTCGTCACTTCCCCTAAGCACCAAACGCCAAATCCCTCAAACCCTAAAACCCAACCCTCTCAAGGCCTAAGCCCTAGAACCCCCAAAGCCCTGAAACCTTGGGGGGTATCACCCTACAACATTGCCCTAAACCCTACATCCTTTTTACCCTCTACTCTAAACCCTAAACCCTAACCCCTAACCCTAACCCCTAAACCCTAAACCCTAAACCCTAAACCCTAAACCCTAAACCCTAAACCCTAAACCCTAAACCCTAAACCCTAAACCCTAAACCCTAAACCCTAAACCCTAAACCCTAAACCCTAAACCCCAAAACCCTAAACCCTAAACCCTAAGCCCTACAACATCCCTGAGCCCTGGACTCCCGGCACCCTGAAGTAAATATCACTCTTACTTCTCCAAAATCTGAACTTTAAACTTTTTGGGCTTCCTTATTTAGTAGGAATAATAAAGTTTAACCTTTTTTTCCCTTGGTTATTGGAGAAGTAAGCACTTCCAGGTTCCCCACCAGCGCTACCCGGCCCTCGACACGACGAGGCAGGAGCTGGGCTACCTGTCCCAGCTGTACGTGCCTTGGCTTGGAGGTGGAGGGTTTTAGGGTTTAGGGTTTAGGGTTTAGGGTTTAGGGTTTAGGGCTTAGGGTTTAGGGTTTAGGGTTTAGGGCTATTTGTCCCAGCTGTACGTGCCGTGGCCTGGAGGTTTGGAGTTTAAGGGTTTTAAGGGTTTTAAGGGCTTCAAGGGTTTTTGAGGGCTTTAAGGGCTTCAAGGGCTTTGAGGCCTTTCAGGGTTTTAAGGGTTGTAAGGGTTTAGGGTAGGGTTTAGGGGTTTTGGGGTGTAAGGGTTTTGGGGTTGAAGGGTTCAAGGGTTCAAGCGCTCCCAGCATAATCCCTTTATGTATATGGGGGTTTTCCTGTAGAACACACATTCACAGCCCCCGAACCCCCGTAAGCGCCAGATACACGAGAGGTTTCTGACCGGACCCTCAACTTGGAAGCCCAAACCCTAAACCCTAAACCCCTAAATGGGTAGTTCTCTAAATTAGGGTCCCTTTCGGGGATCCTTTTTTAAAGGGTGCCGCCTTATAAGGGGTACCCAAAAATGGGCCCCAATTTAGAAAACTACCCAAATCCTAAACCCTGAGCCCTAAATCCTAAACCCTAAGCCCGAAACCCTAACCCGAACTTCCCCAACGACTTAAAGCCGTAAAGGCCTAAACACGACAGTCCTTCAACCCTAAAAGCCCTAAAGTCCTAACACCCTAAGCCCTGAACCATAACCCCCGACCTCCTAAACCAACCATAGACCCTAAACCCTAAACCCTAAACCCTAAACCCTAAACCCTAAACCCTAAACCCTAAACCCTAAACCCTAAACCCTAAACCCTAAGCTCTTCAAGCTCCCAAGCCCCCAAAACCCTGCGGCCCGAAACCCTAGCCCCCTGAACCCCGAGTCCCAGCAAGCCCGAGTCCATGGGTTTAGGGTTTAGGGTTTAGGGTTTAGGGTTTAGGGTTTAGGGTTGAGGCTTGTGGGTTTAGGGTTTAGGGTTTAGGGTTTAGGGGATTCGGGTGTAAGAGTTGTTTACGCTCCGAGGGCGGGCTTTTGGCTTAAGGTCTAGAGTTCAGCTCAAGGCTAAGGGACCCCTTTATTTAAGTAGACTCACACCTGTAAGCCCGCTAACACCTGTAAACCCCAAACCCATCCCTAACACTCGAAACCCTAAACCCTAAACCTCAAAAAACCCTGACGCTCAAAACCCTAAACCTTGCACCCAAGATTGAACTTGGAGGGTTTCGGGCTTCATATAGGGGTTGGAGTAGTTACTAAATAATAGTTTTCCCTTTTGGTCCCTTTGTCATTCTACTACAGTAGCCCCCGAAAACCTATTCTAATTATTAAGGCCCCTATAGTAGGTTCCCCTATACAACCCCTATATATATACATACCCCTATATATACCGTGTATAGTCCCTATATACCTCAGTGGCCCCCAAAGAGCCCCCTAGGGTCCCTTTACAAGCACGCTACACCTTATACGCCCTACTTGGAAGCCTTTTGACTTAGTAGGTAGGGGCTAGTAAGGTTTGGGGATTAGAGTAGGGTTTCTGAAGGATAGTAAGTACCCTAAACCCTAAACCCTAAACCCTAAACCCTAAACCCTAAACCCTAAACCCTAAACCCTAAACCCTAAACCCCCTAAACCCTAAACCCTAAACCCTAAACCCTAAACCCCCTAAACCTAGGGAAACCCATGATAGTAGGGGAACCCCCCGCTGTTCTGAGGACCTGTACGTCGCGGTCTTGGAGACCATCAAGGAGCCTCGCTGCCAATCCCTGGCTATTACGGCCCCTAAACCCCAAACCCTAAACCCTAAACCCTAAACCCTAAACCCTAAACCCCTAAACCCCTAAACCCCTAAACCCCTAAACCCCTAAACCCCTAAACCCTAAACCCCTAAACCCCTAAACCCCTAAACCCCTAAACCCCGAAGTTCTAAATCCTAAGCCCTGAACCCGAAACCCTAAGCACTAACCTGTTGCAGTCAGTGTTTGTTTACATTAACGCTTTGGAGGACGGGTGGGTGTGGGGGGGGAGCGGGGGTGTAGGGTTTAGGGTTTAGGGTTTCCAAACCATAAATGCTTAGAGTGAAGGCAGTGAAGGGTAGGAGGCCGGCACTTTACTCCCCAAACCCGAATTTGGCTCATGAAGCTTCAAACTGGCACCAACGCCTTCCCCGTTTAGGGTTTAGGGCTAGGGTTTAGGGACCCCTTCACGCCTGAAAGCTACTCTCTCAGTATTTTCCCTTAACGGGTTTAAGACAAAGTAGTCCAGTGCTGCCCTTGTCCCTTTTTGGGGTTCAAGGTTCCCTTACAAAGTAACCAACCCCAAAAAGGGTGTGCCCTTATGATAATATGGCTGCTGGGCTACCAACAAGAGGGTCACATTCAAGATGTTACCCTAAACCCTAAACCCTCAACCCGAAACCCTAAACCCTAAACCCTAAACCCTAAATAAACCCGTTTTTCAGAGGGTCTTGAGGGCCAACCTAGTCCGTGAGCCCCAACCCAAGAGGAGTACAAGGTACTTGGAGGGACTAGATACTAAGTAGACTTATAAGTACCCTAAAAGGGACCCTCATAGGAGTTATTCTACTTATAACTTAAACCCTAAACCCTAAACCCTAAACCCTAAACCCTAAACCCTAAACCCTAAACCCTAAACCCTAAACCCTAAACCCTAAACCCTAAACCCTAAACCCTAAACCCTAAACCCTAAACCCTAAACTACTTACTAAATCCTCCGACCCTCCAAGTATAGGGGCGCGCACGTCAGACCTTACTGGGGCAGCCCTGAGCAGCTTCAAAGTAGCTTGTACAGTGACCCTAAACCCTAAACCCTAAGCCCTAAACCCTAAACCCTAAACCCTAAACCCTAAACCCTAAACCCCAAACCCTAAACCCTAAACCCTAAACGCTTAACCCTTAAACCCTTAAACCCTGCAGCCTGAACTCCTGAACCCCCCGAAAGGCCCTAGACCCACGAACTCCGGCCCACCGCATGGGCTGCAAGTCCTGTTCGCTTTGTCATAGTGGGGGTACATTTTACATGCTTAAGGGTTTAGGGTTTAGGGTTTAGGGTTTAGGGTTTAGGGTGCTCACACCCAATAAGGAATCGAAACTTACATGCTTAACCCTATCCCAACCATGAACACGTCGGGCCGTGGGCTGAGCCAACGTCATTCCCCTCTGTCGAGCCCGGTGCACAAAATCTACCCAGAAATACCTGGCTTCCTTTTGGCTGGCTTTTAGGACTTAAGCCTTTTGTGTGTTTGTGTAGAGACTACAATAAGGAGCCTAAAAGTTAAACTTTTAGGAGGGGTTCAGAAGTCAGCCAAGCATACCCATGCTAGTCACTTAGGCTAGGAGGAACGCTTAGAAGGGGCACTTACAAGGGACCTTGAGAGAAGGGACCTGGAGAATCCTGAACCCTAACCATCCTAAACCCTAAGCCCCTAAACCCCAAAACCTTTAAACCCTTAAATCCTAAACCCCTAAACCCTTAAACCCTTAAACCCTTAAACCCCTAAACCCCTAAACCCTTAAACCCTTAAACCCTCAAACCCTTAAACCCTTAAACCCTTAAACCCTTAAACCCCTAAAACCCTAAACCCTTAAACCCTCAACCCCTTGAATCCTTCTGCCTTCATCCTGAGTAGCGCCTGGCATCATGTCGATTTCAGTCCATGTGCACCTCCTGAGTGGAGCGAGCGTAACTTTGGCAACGGAGCCAGAAGAGTCTGTGTCCTGCTTGTGCCAGAGAGCCCAGGGCGCTCTAAGAGTTGGCAAGGGAAGGCTGCTGACGGTTTCTGGAGATACACTCGCCGAAGGTACAGTCAATCAAGCACGTTTACAAGATAATGACGTACTGACATTGCACGTCGGACAGGTTCGCCTACAAAACTCTTGGTGCGCCTTTGCTGCTCTCCTGGGTGATGGATCTGTGGAGACTAGGGGCCATTTTAAACAAGGAGGCGACAGCAGTGCCGTACAGGAGCAGCTCAAGAACGTGCAGCAGGTGCAAGCTTCTGCGCAGGCATTTGCTGCGATCCGGGCCGATGGATCTGTGGTGACCTGGGGTGCTGCTAAATATGGAGGTGACAGCAGTGCCGTACAAGACCAGCTCAAGGACGTACGGCAGGTGCAAGCTTCGGAACTGGCATTTGCTGCGATCCGGGCTGATGGATCTGTGGTGACTTGGGGCCATGCTGAACAAGGAGGCGACAGCGGTGCCGTACAAGAGCAGCTCAGGAATGTGCAGCAGGTGCAAGCTTCTGATCAGGCGTTTGCCGCGATCCGGGTCGATGGATCTGTGGTGACCTGGGGCCATTCTGAATTCGGAGGTGACAGCAGGGCCGTACAAGAGCAGCTCAAGAACGTGCAGCAGGTGCAAGCTTCCGAACGGGCGTTTGCTGCGATCAGGGCTGATGGATCTGTGGTGACCTGGGGCGCTGCTGAATACGGAGGTGACAGCGGTGCCGTACAAGAGCAGCTCAAGAACGTGCAGCAGGTGCAAGCTTCCGAACGGGCGTTTGCTGCGATCCGGGCCGATGGATCTGTGGTGACCTGGGGCCAGGCTGAATACGGAGGTGACAGCAGTGCCGTACAAGAGCAGCTCAAGAGCGTGCAGCAGGTGGCTTCCGAACGGGTGTTTGCTGCGATCAGGGCTGATGGATCTGTGGTGACCTGGGGCGCTGCCAAATATGGAGGGGACAGCAGTGCCGTACAAGAGCAGCTCAAGAACGTGCAGCAGGTGCAAGCTTCCGAACGGGCGTTTGCTGCGATCAGGGCTGATGGATGTGTGGTGACCTGGGGTGCTGCTAAATATGGAGGTGACAGCAGTGCCGTAGAAGACCAGCTCAAGGACGTATGGCAGGTGCAAGCTTCGGAATTGGCATTTGCTGCGATCCGGGCTGATGGATCTGTGGTGACTTGGGGCCATGCTGAACAAGGAGGCGACAGCGGTGCCGTACAAGAGCAGCTCAAGAACGTGCAGCAGGTGCAAGCTTCCGGATGGGCGTTTGCTGCGATCCGGGCTGATGGATCGGTGGTGACATGGGGCATGCTCGCTTTGGCGGCGACTACACCCTAAACCCTAAACCGTAAAACCAAAACCTACTCGAGCTGAAAGCCCAGCCATTGCAGCCTGCACCTTGAGAGCAGCAAACCTGGTTTTCAGGATCATGGGGCTGTTAAAGCCCTAAACCCTAAACCCTAAACTCTAAACCCTAAGAGTTCCGAAGGTTGAGATGACGGTTTCTAGAAACTCAAGGGCTCAAGGAGGGACCCTTGTTAGGGACCTCAGGGGATATTTAGGGGCTTTTCCCCAACCCTCGCTGTGGGGTTGTTAGATTTCAAACTCAACTCTTCTCCTCGCCCGAAACTCTTCTCCTCGCCCGGTCTACTCCTCCGCAACCCCAAAGTGTCCCTGGAGTCTGGAATGCCCAATCCGAGACTCTTCCTGGAGTGCCCTGGAGTGCCCAACCCCAGAGTCTGAGAGTCTCCCTGGAGTGCCCAACCTCAGAGGCCCAACCCCAGAGTCTCCCTGGAGTGCCCAACCCCAGATTGTTCCCGGAGTGCCCAGCCCCAGAGTGTCCCTGGAGTGCCCAACCCCGGAGTATCTTTACCAAGAGAGGGTGGGGATGTTCGAAGTAAAATTATTTAGGGGCTGCTTCGGTACTTAGGGTTTTAAGGGTTTAGGGTTTAGGGTTTAGGGTTACAGGGACTATAAAAGGTCTGTATAGGGGTAGGCGCGACCCCAGACTAGACCAGACTTTTTCGGAGCACCTTTGATGATGGGTTTCCCGCCTCCTTCGAATTGCGTGTTTGTAACGGTGATCCTGTACCCATGGTACCCCTTGACCGAACACGAAACCCTAAGCCCTAAATCCTAAATCCTAAATCCTAAACCCTAAACCCTAAACCCTAAACGGGTTTAGGGTGAGACGAGGACTGGCGAGACTACCTCTGGTGTGACGTGGGGGAGAACATGGAGGACATGCAGAAGAAGACCCTGGTCGGGGGTTTAGGGTTTGGGGGTTTAGGGTTTGGAGGCTTAGGGTTTAGGGAATAGGGTTTAGGGTTTAGGGTTTGGGTGTTCAGGATTTAGGGCCTAGGGCTTACGGTAATGGTTCGGGGTTTGGGGTTTGGGGGTTTAGGGGTTTAGGGAGGGGTTCAGGGGTTTAGGGGTTTAGGGGTTTAGGGGTTTAGGGGTTTAGGGGTTTTGGGGTTTTTGGGTTTTGGGTTTAGGGGTTTAGGGGTTTAGGGGTTTAGGGATCTAGGGGTTTAGGGGTTTAGGGGTTAGGGGTTCACCTTGCACCCCTCCCACCCCACCCGCACTAGGGACCTTACACGACGGCTGTTTTGAGCGCCCTCAACCGTAAGCCTTCTCTCCTTAAGCCAAAGCCTGAAGCCCCAAAACTTAAAGTCCTGAAGCCCTAAACCCTAAATCCTAAACCCTAAGCCCTAAATCCTAAACCCTAAGCCCTAAACCCTGAATCCTAAACCCTAACCCCAAGCCCAACATCCCTCAAGTTCTCCGAGGTAAGGCCCTAATCCCTACACCCTAATCCCCTAAACCCTAAGCAAGCCCGAAACCCAAACCCTCAACCCCTTAAACCCCCTAATCCCTAAACCCCCTAAACCCCCTAAACCCTAAACCCTAACCCCTAAACCCTACACCCTAAACCCTAAACCCTTGAAAAGCCCTCCGCAGCCTTGAAGCATCTTGAAGCTCCACCTTCACTTGAAGGGTTTAGGGTTTAGGGTTTAGGGTTTAGGGTTTAG